TTAATCGATTAAAACAGTGACTTAGTATAGAAAGTGGTTTTCTCACTGCTTTAATCGATTATTTACCTATATAATCGATTAAAGCCGAGCCTGCATGATAAATTTGAGCATTTTGAAGCTTCTAAGTTATAGACTATGTACCGGCTATCTTAGACTCTATAATTACAGACTCAATCAAACTAAAACAGAGTTATTACAATACGTAAATCATCAATCTTCAATCTTCAATACTCTAAGTCTTTAAGCTCTTGGATCATCATCAAAATTAACATTCTTCATGATCATTATTTGCAACATCAAGTCCTTGAATGTTCAACAATTTGATGTTGACTTTGATTAATATAAAATTATATATTATTTGTTAATATATTTTGAACTCGATTAAGATCCTGTACAGTTTGAAAAAACTGCATAAGACCAATCATTTCCTTATTTTCAATTATTTGATAAATTTTAAATATAAGAAGGAGGAGAAGCTTGCATTCGTGAGATTAGTAACTGCACATGGTATATTTCTTTTTAAACTGAAAGAATATATCTATTTTCATTTTGACCTACAACTTTATAAGATTCATTTTTATATATTATTAGATATAAATGGAGTTCAATATAGTGGAAGAGACTAATATTTGTTTTCTATTTTCTCGAGAAGTATACATATGTGTCTCGAATATAAGCACATACAGTTTGGAAAGACATGTAACATATGAATTACTGACAGACACCAAAACAGGACACATAAATATCAGAACATGACTATGGTTAATGTCTGTATATATATAATTTATTTTAGAGACAGTATAGTAATTTTATATTTGTTTTTTTATAAATATAAAAAAAAAGTACATTTTTCTTTCATCTATGCATCTGTATCTTCACTGCACGGCACATTTTGATTTTAACCCACCCATCACCATTAATGAAGTCAACTGTTGTTGCTACGATTTGGATGCATCTTTCTAATAATATGTGTTTAGGACATCTTTAGTAAAGAATATGTGTCCACACAGTGTTGAGGTGTTTGAAGTGAAAATAAAAATAAAAATTGCGACATGCTCTTGTGTGCTTTTCCATCGTGTGGAGAACTAAGATACCCGGTGACGTGTGAGAATGGTATCTTTTATGATATTCCAAAAGGTGACTTACGTTTAGTTTAATAATTTATTATTTGTCTATTACGTGATAATAATGGATATATTTTTATAACTGTGAACTTTAATATTAAAATTTAGTATTTATTTTTTCCTATATAAAAGGAATAAAGTGTTTATCTTATAAATTATTATTTTTTTTATTAGTGTAATTAGTTGAGTTAGATATTATTATTGTTTATTATTAGTTTTATTTTTATTTTTTCATATTTTATTTTAGTTATGAATTCTTGTGTAGTTACTCTAATTTCTAACCGTGATATCGGAGCATGATTGGTTTCTGGTTTGTGATATTATTCTACTGTTATAGTTATTAGAATATTGTTAGAAAAAATTATTTGTAGTTGCGGTTAATTTGATCTTCTACATAAAAAAATTTATTATAGTTAGTGAATATAAAGTGTGGCAGTGTAACAATGCATGTCTAGAAAAAGTTCTGACAAGGAAATATTTGATATTTAAGGATGTTTATTAGTGATCAATATCTCTTTCTTGAGAGCTTATCTGATGTATTAGTTACGGTCTACGTCATTGTTCCATTAGGCAATAAGGTGCATAAGTCGGTTAAAACCATAACAACAAAATATGAAATAGAGAAGTTCAATGAGAATAATTTCTCATTGTAGAAATTGAAGACGAAGACAATTTTGAGAAAAGTCAATTGTGTAGAAGCAATTGGAGAAAAATTTGTGGGCATCATAGATTGAAGGTGGGAAAAAATAAACAACAACATTATAACAAATTTGCGGAGAAGGGTACAACAAAGGAAATTTGAGAGTCCTTCGTCAAAATGTATCATGAGGAAACACATTAGACTTGATTTATTATGATATGTTAGAATCGTCGATATTATCCCTAGGATGAGCAAATATTTTATTAGACTTGATTTATTATGATGTGTTGGAATCACCAATATTATCCCTAGGAGGGGTCAAAATTTGTGTCAGTGATGACAATGATTACTTTAAGAGATTATGGGTGTATCACATCAAGAAGAAGTTTGTATTTTCAAAATTTAGGAAAGACAAATTTTTGGGCTATGCTAATGCTAACAATGTGAAAGATATTTTTTGTGGGTCCCACTATCCACAAGGTTATTATTAGTGAGGATACAAATATTATTTTTCTTCAAAATAAACTTAGAGAAAGGATGAATGTGCTTTAACCAGAAGACTTAATGAAAAAGGAAATTTGATTTGCAAGTTGACTAAATCTTTATACAGTTTAAACTGGGTGTTCAGGTGTTAGTACAAAAAATTTGATTCTTCATTATTAGCTTTGATTATAACAGACTAAATTCAGACTATTGTACCTATTACAATAGATTTGATAAGAATGATTTTATCATTTTGTCGTTGTATGTGGATAACATTTTGGTGGTAGACTCTAACAAAGTTCGAATCCAGGTTTTGAAGATACAATTGGTTAGGGATGCAATTGGCTAAAGATCAATAAATAAGATTTTAGGGATGCAAATTCACTAGGACATAAAAGATAGGAAGGTTTGACTTTATTACTGAAGGTCTTGCAGTACTTTAAAATGCAATGGTGTAAGTCATTTTCTACCACATTTTCTATCAAGTTATTCTCAAATATGAGTCATAGCAATAAAACAAGGAGGATGGAACTGTCTCGAGTATAGTATACATCGACGGTGAGAAGTCTTATGAATACCATGATTAGAACAATACTAGATATTGTACAAGCAGTGAGAGCGATTAGTAGATTAATGATAAATTATGGTGGAAAGCATGAGTATTATCAAGAGAATTCTTATCAAAGGAACCTCGGGATGTTGTATTATGTTTCAAAGGATCAAACTAATTATCAGATGTTATGTTTGTTGATCTTGATGAACCTACCTTTGTTGAAGAGATAATAATTAGTTATCCACATTATAGGATGTTGTAGTTCTGTTTATCATAAAAATTGAATATATGGTAACCACCGAGACATATAAGGAAGCTATTTGGATTAAGAGGATAATGGAAAAACTCGAGTACAAGTAGCAATAGGTTGTTGTGTATTTGGATTTCCAACAAGAAGAACCTAACAAATGTTATGATAGTCGGTTAGCAGTGATAAGTTTACATAGAGACAATCCTACTGAATGTCTATTACAAAAATAACAATGTAGAAGACAATAATAATGTATTGTGAAGATTTGATTAATTTAATCAAAATCTTCACGTGGAAGAATGTGAGAAGAGAAGTCTCACATTAAGAAATTATATATTAATATTTACTTTACTTATTATAAAAAGAGCCGTATTTACCTTGTAAAACATCCAAAATCTCTTCCATCTCATTTTTATAAGTACATTGCATAGAAATTGAATTCTCTTATTTCTTAAAAAGGATATTATTATTATTTTCTTCTAATATTTAAATAAGGTATTATAATTTCTTCTTGTAGTAAATTTTATTATTATCTATTATCGAATTTTATTTTTATATTTTATTTTAGTTATCAGATCTTATGTAATTAATTATTTTGATTTCTAACACAAATTGTTGTCGTCGTTCTTCCTCTAATATTATGGTCAATAATAGGAAATATTCTCTATAACTATTAAAAGAAAATGACATACTTGTTTCTAAACCAGTATTCACTCCTATGCAACTTTTCACCTTACTAAATAGTTCTTTTGACACTCCTTTATTGACCCTCAGGTTTATCATTGATTGGTGAGCTGATGTACCTTACAACCACTAGACCAACCCTTGTTTTTGTCACTCAATAGTTGAGTCAATATGTTTCTCAACCAATGGATACTCACGTCAAAGACTCATCTGCTAAAGGTCTTCATTTTGTTGCTAACTTATCTCTCGTTCCATCAACCTTTGTTGATTCTGATTGGGGTTATTGTTTAAAAAACCCAAAAATCTATCACCGATATCGTGTCTTTCTTGGTTTCTCGTTAATTTTTTGAAAAACCAAAAAAAAAAAACACATTATCTCATTCTTCCTAAGCTAAATATAGAGCTCTTGTAGCTCTCAACTGTGAATTGCAATGACTTTATTATTTACTAACATATTTGTAAGTTTCTAGTACTGCTCCTATTTCAGTTTCTTTGACAATCACATAAAGATTCACTATCATATCATTTGTGAAAATTTTCAAAGTGACCTTCTTCGTTTGCTGCCTGCCAATTCCTTCTTCTGCACAACCGGCTGATATGTTTACTAAAGTTCTCCGTCCCAAAGCTTTCACTCAACGTGTCTCCAAGTTGGGACTATTAGATGTTCGGGATTACCAACTAATTATTTTATTTGTTAGAATTTGTTATAGTTTTGTCTTCTTCTATGCCTGCCTGTAAAGTTTGTTTTGGTTTGTTCCTTCATCCTGTTATACAAGTCCTTTGTCATTTCTGAACAAGGAAAAATACTTTTCAATCAAATATTCATTATATAACCCTATCAATCCTATGAAAGGCTCCAATCTTATGTGTATCTTGGCCATGCTTCTTAAGCTTCGTACACCAATTCTCTTAAACTTAACTCATTTCGCTCAGAAAACAAATATAAGCAAAAAATATGATTTACTGGGACACTGCAAAATGCATGTATATACATACACATAGAGGCATTACCCTATAATTGCTGCAATTACAAACGTTAATGCAGGTTGCAGATTACTGATAGCAGTAGCTGCACTGGAAGATGCATAATATAACCGTCTAAAATATTCATTCTGATTTACTGTGACTCTGCAAGGAAAAAATAATCTAACGGTAAATTTTATTTTTTTTTTTTTAAAAAAGGATTCAAAAGCAACATGTAACAAGTGATTTGTCAAGTGGCCCAAGAGCCGCTTAGGATAGAGTAACAAAGGTGTCAAAGCCAACATGGCTATGCATTGTCTGTACACTACAAAGACTATTGAATTCAATCCATCTAACAGAATGGCTCTTGTGAAGATGTTAAGTGCTGTATAGTCAATTTGCAATATCATGACCATATAAGAGGAAGATGGTCACCTATACCACCCCGTTTTTAGGAGTCTAAAGTTGAAGCCAAGTTATATATGTTTTCACATTCTAGTTCTCCACACGCTGGAAATGAACAAAAAGAAAGTGCCAGAGAAACATGATGGAAAAGCAACTTGTTCACCTGTACAATTTGCAGTTACTTTATATGCAGTAAGTCATAAGCCACAGCCACAACTCAATTAGTATTTATTTTTTGTGCAGTACAATATTGACACTGTCAGAAAATGGTATTACTGTTATTGATACGAAAAATAACTGTACCAAACTCCTTAGATGTCTCTAAGGATCATAACAACTCTATTATTGTTAGTATTATATTGATACACTGCAATCTGTATCAAATCAAATGTCATTTTTAAATTTTTTAAGATGATTGACACCTTCACTCTAGTTGACATGTAAAAAGATAGAAGAGATAAGAAAGTGTAGGGATGAGTGAACGATATAATGTGAATGTGTGGTAGAGAGAAAGAGATAGAGAGAATTGATAAGTTATTTAGAGAGATAAAGTGTTGTGTGCAATCTTCAACCTGTTATCAACAGTCAAACTGCTTTGGTAGGAAGAGGAGTACGTAGGAAGGTAATACTCGGTTACTTTTCTCCCATGTATATTATACATATTATGTTTTAGTTTGATAGGCGCTGTTGGAGTTATCGCTGGTTTATATATTGTGGTTTGGAGTAAAGCCAAAGACTTTGTTGAAACTTGCAAGATGATAAGTAGTAGGATGGATTTGGAAGAACCTCTTCTGTCAGAGAAGTGTGTCGAATTTGAGACAGAGGAATGCTGAGATAATACTGTAATATTTTTTTCTTTTGGTCCACTGAGATAATGATTATTCTGCGTCAGTTGCATCAGCTTGTGTGAATTTAGTGCGTTGATTTTACTTAAAACACAGTTTCCAATACACTTTAAATAATGCTAAAGATTCATGTTGCATTACACTAACTTCTTCAAACATAGTTTTAGCAGTCCATACAAACTCCACATGACTAGTCATAATTAGAATTGGGCCACTTGAGCCCAAATAACTTGGACTTTGATATTAACTTGAAGACATTTTGGGAAACGACCAAAATGGTATTCTCAAATATGAAATTTATATTGTAAAAGTGTGTATTTCAGAATGAAAGAAGTGGATAAAGATTTTTATACGACCATAAGGAAATGAAAAAAACAAAATTTTAAGAATGAAGCGGAATGCATGCTTTTGGCAGGATTTTACTTTTTGAATGTTCGCATTATTGTAAAGCTGTTTGTTGTTTGGTTTAGGTCAAATAACATTTGATTTGATACAGAGTTTCAATTTTAAAATGTTTGATACACTGTAACAGTGCCAAAAAACAATTGTTTCAATATAGTTATAAATAAAAGACTAAATATGTGATTTTATATTTATCTACAAACTTATTAGTTAATCTCACTGAACATTCAATTTAATAAGCTATAACTAATAAAATCCCATCGAAGTTAAAAAGTTTCCACTAGACATTTTTTTTTTAAATACATTTTCAATTAACTTTTGTAAAATACAAATCTTAGGGTTTAGGGTTTTATAGAACCTTAAAAACAATCCAATAAATTGAATAAAAGTATGACACACCCTTAATTAACACACTCCTACCAATTGACTGAAAGTTAAAGCTTTATTCATAAATAATATATACAAAAATCTTAAAAACTCTCATCAAAATAAACTAATAAAAAGTGTAGTCCTGATAATGTAGTATCATACTTGGGACTGACACAAGTTAATTAATGATAAAAGAAATTCTTAAATGTATTTTTAATCTCTATAAATAATGAATTTTAATTTTTATAATTTCTTATTTTTCATCCTTAAGTTTAGTGTTTATAATTTTTTTTTCAAAATTTTTAATCGCTTTAAATCATAAACACTAGTTAATGAGTATAACATATTAAAAATATTTTCAATTTTTTAGAGCTGAAAACATCGTTTATTTTTATATAAACTATAATCAAAACGTTTCTATCTTAAATTATAAATATATTTAAATCTGAAAAATAAATTAAATGAAAACATTTAAGTTCATATCAAACCAACCTATATAATTTTTTTTCGTTTAAACGAAAATTTTTCGTCTTTTCTACTTTTAATATATATATATATATATATATATATATATATATATATATATAATTTAATTACTGGATCAAAACTATAAATTAGATTTGATTATATTAATTGATTTATTTTTAAATAAAACTATGATCAAGGTTTTATTTTTCATGATTTAGCAAAAGTAAATTAGATCTGCGATAAAAGTTACTTATTATTATTATTATTATTTTATTCCAATCATATACTTATAATGTTCTAACTCATTAAATAAGTTTAGTGATTGGAGTTGGATGGAATCTATGAAGTTTCATGGTATATATATTAACAAAAAAACGAAAAGAAAAATTATGCTGATAAAGAGTTTCAACGCAATGATTTGAAATTTAAATATTTGTTCAAAATTAATGAAGAGAAGTTCATTGCTTTTATCATTCTAATCTAGATAAGATGATTGTGTGTACTTCCCCTATAGTTTGTTTTGTTGAAAAGAAAAAGTTAAGATGAAGATGAAGATGAAGGTTTTATACAGTGGACTGAAAAAGGTGGTGACCCAATCAGCATTGATAAAATAAAAATAATATTATGAGTGTAGATATGATGTTGGCAATAGCAAGAGTTGAGTGAGATCCAAGTATTCATGCTCTGCTCACTGAATAGCTTAATCTTGGAAATCCCCTCTCTCACACATGCATCGATTATGAATTCGAGAACACAGAAATAAATGATGCAGCCAAACCTTACTCCATCCACCATCAAACCCAGCTAACATAATGCATCTCATTGCTATTAAATTAAAACCCTAGTAATCCATCCACGACATCAATCATGAATTTCAATTAGGCCAAAAATCACCTTAATTAAGCCTTTGAAATGGTGAAAAGGAGGATCTCCACCAATTCCTTCAAATTAACACAGGTGGTGGTGATGATTGGGCTATGCCAACACAAGGACGATGCCACGAGTTGAAGCAATCAAGACATGGGACCAATACATGTCACATCTCTCTCTCTCTCTCTCTCTCTCTCTCTCTCTCTCTCTCTCTATATATATATATATATATATATATATATATATATATATATATATATATATATAAGGGTTCTGAGTTTTAAATGAGTTTCAGAACCAATAATATGTTCATGAGTGGTTTTGTGCATCATGCAGAAAGAGATAGGTCTAAAATAAAATAGAAGAAAGAAAGTGGCAGTCTTTTTCTTCATATTTCTTGCTTATACGACTAAGAGTTTCTCTTGTCTCCCTTCTCGACTAACTCAAAACTTCACGCCAAGGAAACTCACTCTTTACAAATTAAATAGCTGGCAATGGAGTATGACCATCCAACAAATACATAACCAGATATCTACTTTAATTTCACCTATTTATTACCTATTTCCTTTTTTTCGTTTATTTTTTAATAAGATTATAACATTTAAAATATTATTCACTTTTTGTAATTTTAATTCATCATAATTTAATTTTATTTTAAATATTTTGATAAATTTTGAAAAATTTATATAAATCACTCTTCATCTTAACAATGATGTAAGATTTTTTTAATACATCAAAGTAAATACTCTTATTTTTAAATAAATAAATAAATAATATATATATATATATATATATATATATATATATATATATATATATATTTACACGTAAAAAAGAGCACAGAAATATACCATCTGTAATTTCCAGAGAACTGATGAAGCATACATAATATAAACCGACGTGTGAATATAGGAAAAACGTGTAATTCTCGATCAAACCCATAAGTTAATTAAGAAATTGTACTAGCAATAAATGACATTTTCTCTAATTTATTTATAATCACTAACACTTTATTTTCATTTCTTAAACTATATATTAAAAAACATTTTAAACATTTTTTTAAAAAATTAATCCAAAATAAGAAATGAGGATGAAGAAACGTTTTCTAAAACAGTATGTGATATATTTAATATGATGGTGCTTGGGATCAATATTTGACCCCTTTATTTCAGGTTGATGATAAAATCAATTCATAATGAGGAAAACTAAAGAAAATTTAGAATATGTCGGCGTGTGCAATTAACATATTTTGATAGTGTAACATGTGTGCAATTAATATGAACTATCAAGTTGAACTAACATTTAAAGAAATTGATAAATATGAGAGATCGGTTGCCGATGATGGGTCACATCACATATTCCAAACACATACTATAAAATGAGAATGTTTTAACATTGGTGGCTCTTGATAAAAATTTGTATGGGGTGGATGCATTATGAATCTGACATTTTCATCCATTTTTCCTAGGGTGTGTATCTTCATATAAAGTTCGTTTAATTTTAGAATTTCCTCCATCAACCAACAAAGGTAAAAGAATATATATATAGCAAACTCAATTCTTAAGCTAGCTAGCAATATACTCGACTGCTACAAGGGATGGCAATTAATATAATATAGTTTTGACTGTATAATACAAATGATATAACTTGACGTAAAATTATGCTTCCCAATTTCCATATATGTATAAACCAAATTTCTCAGAATTTAAGTCTGACTCAACATGGTGAAGATCACAAGCATACCTTTTGTCTCCCGCAACTTCAGACAGCAAACTCAGACACTTCAGTGGCACAGATTAACATGTCTAAGAAATGTTATAGTCATGAACCACAGTCGTCACGTGCGAAATTAATTCTACCAACAATACCAGGGATTCCCTCCTCCCACCCTTGCAATGTTTCCCAAACCAAACTGAAATATCGTCAATGCAATCTAAACCAAGTTTCCTTTCCCCTTTATTGTCCTTTGCTTCATCAAATAATGAAGGGAAAATTGGCATAAGTATATATCAAAGTTGGCATTGTGTCTATATCGGTTGTACTTGAGGCTGGGGAAGAAAAACAGTTAATCACAGTAACAAGAAGCAATTAATTTTCAATATGGTAGTAGCTTTAATTAACTTAAGAAGGTGTAGAAGAAATCAAAGTTTAACCAGAGGTATATTTATCAAGGGAAAATATTGGGCATATTAATCATATGGATTAAGATAATAAAAAGGGAAAAAAAAAAAAAAAACCGTACAGCCGGGCCATAACAACATTCAGTATTAATACTCTCCTTTTCTTGACTAACTTTATTCCACCTTGATGCATCATCATAAGAGAGAAATAAATGGAATAATTGTTTTTAGGCTGCAAATTTAACCAAAATAGGAGATATTATCACTTGAAATTGTGTAAGTGGTGGGATCCCTCTGTTGGATGTACATGGAAGAAGAGGAAGAAGTTTGAGGAAGAGAAGGAGGTGGAGGTGGTGGTGGAGGAGGAGGTGGTGGAGGTGGAGCAGCAATTGAAACAGCCCCAGATGAAGGAAGCATTGCAACATGAGAGGAGTGTATCATGTGAGCTTCCCTGAGTTTGTATTTAAGTATTTCAGCCCTCACTACATTAAGTTCAGCTTGTAAAGATTGAACTTGCTGTTGTAAAGCAGAAATTGCACCCATGCATCCATACACAGGGTCTCTTAGCCTCACATTAGCCTCATAAACTAGACTATTTGCTGCATCAGCTCTCTGACACTCTGGTACTTCCTATAACACATTGTAATAAGATTAAAATCTACAATTAGTGGAATACATATATATGTATGTATGTATGTATATCATACTATTAATTAGATAACTAGCCAGTAGTGTTTGTACAGTGTATTTATATATTACCATGAGCATCTTTGAGACGTTGCTGGCACCAAAAACTTTGTGGACAGAAGCAAATTTTTGGGGCTCATGGGGAGAGAAATAAGGAGAAAAGGGACATTCTTGGGCACATCTTCTTCTCAACAACTTACATGCTGCACAAGGGGTGATGGTATTTAGGGTTCCAGGAGGGCCTAACATATGTCTTCTTCCCATTTGAGAGGAAACATCTCCTTCCCTCTTGATCTTCTTCCCTATCTCATCAAATCTCTCCCTACAGTAGAACCATCAAACTTAGCAGACCTCATACGAAACTAATTAATTATCAGACATAATTTTTCTTTCAAGGGATATGGCATGCTGATTTGAACTTTGATCACCATATGAATTTAGAAACTTGAGCATTAAAAATATTGTCGTAGATTAACTATGTTGTTGGAAGAATAATATTTCATGATTGAAGAGTTTCAAGCTAGCTGGCAGGGAAGCAATATATATCATAAAAAAAAAACATATCGAGCACTGTATAAGAAAATAGCTGAGAGTTCAGAGATGAGAATAGATTTATATGTGTTACCTTTCTCTGGACATTCAGGCATGCCCTCTGATTATGAAGTAGGATTCAACTTAGGGAGAGAATATAGAGAGAGGTGATGGCTAGAGAGTTCAGAAAGTGAAGAAGAAAGGAAAATAGAGGTGGAGAATGAGTGTGCTTAAAAGGCAAGGTATAGACAAACCAGTCCAGCTATATTTAATTTAAAAGGAAAAAAAGTTATTTTAGTTACATGGAGAGAGAGAGAAGAAAAGAAAAGAAAAGAAAAATGAGTGAGAGTTATATAATATATATATATATATATATATATATATATATATATGGGCCAAGAAGCTTTTTTGTTGTTGTTGCTAATGTTTTAAACCACTCTCTTGGTTTATGAACGAGGATCTCAGGAATTATAGATTACATTTAAGGAAGTTGAAGGGCTTATAACCGAGGGAAAAAATAATCAAAAATAGTTTCATGGAGAGGAAAAAAGAGAGGAGAATATATTGTTTATGTTGTACAAGTGCCAGCTCATTGACTGTTAGCTCACGTGTGAGTTCTTAAATGTGTTTGACTTTCTTAATCAACTTTCTGATTCAATTGCCGCCATGCATGTGGTTCTTGCTTCTTATTGAGGGCAGGTCTACCAAAGTGGCATTCTTTTTATGCTCCACATATAATTAATATTATCTATAATTTGAGTATGTTTGTGTTAATATCATCTTATTGACTGGGGGCAAAAATGACTCTCTTATATAGATCATTCAAGTGATTAGACATTAAACAAACATTAAACCAGTTGCACTTCCACAAATGTTATTTTGAAGAAAAACTGTATTATTATGCTTGAAAGTTGGTCTTGTTTTGAAGAAAAACTGTATTATTATCATACAATCACCGTGTGGAAACCGCAAGCTGACCCTTAACATGACAGTGCAGACTATATATCACTCACCCCATTACAGTAGTCCTCAACAACTACACCTCTTAATATATTCTTATTAATGAAGACTTATACTATACATAAACATAATTTTCTACTCATCTTTTGTTTATTCTATAGCTAGTTAGTTCTTTGTAAGGTGAAAAACTTCAAGTTTCTTCTTTAATTTTGCTGCTTATTAAGTTGGGAAATGTTTGACAAAAATATATATATAGCCCTAACCCAAACCACATTCAGCATGAAGAAACCAAGGGCAATCTTTAAAGGAAACATATGTAGTAACCATCATCAGATTTATCAGAAACCCACACTTGTTCATTCCTTATTTTCATGATTATGAAATTGCTTCCAAACTTTTAACCCAGCTGAAAACGATTCCTCCTTAATTAAATATTATGTCACTGCAATAAGAAAAAGATTGGACACCTTTCAAGATAAGTTGATAATCTTGAGAAGAAAAGGACTTTTGTCAATTGTGTGATGGATACTTTGATGGATAGAGGTATGATGATATGGGACATTTCACCCAAGCTTCCATATTGGAAAATCATTTTCTCATTTAAGAATCTAACAGAGTTGCTTGATTTCAACAACTAGAATTTCGCATTTTAATTCCTTGTGGATGAATGAGACAGTTAACTGCTTAACTATATTTGTCCTTCACCCAAATGACATATATGCATTTTCCCTTGAACCACACCTTAACTTAATACAAAGAAACCAAAAACTCTCCTTTCAACAGCATACATGTGATGTAAAGTCTAGAATCATTTAACTTGAGTAATCAAGTGAGAGAGAAGAGCCACTTATAGTCCATCTAGCAGTAATTAAAATTGTACTTTACCATAGAAAGGAACCTAAGTTAGATTACGCAGAGATTAGTACAGATCAAGTTGTCACTGATCAATGACTGTCACCCAATATATATATATATATATATATATATATATATATATATATCTTTATTTGCTGGAATGAGACCATAATTAGAGTTACATTAAGACAATGACTATTCCTTTTTTTAGAGGGGGTGCTAGGATTTTGAAAAGTGTTCTATCAAAGTGGGTGGTGAAAGAGAAGGAGAGGAGAGAGGAGTGTATTTGGAGGGGTGGTATTAAATTACGTAAAACGAATGCTTAGACTCTAAGGGAGTGGCACCATCCATTCTTGTTTGACCCGTATTTTGAGGCTTACAATTCGCCCCGTTGTCCTCTCACCGCCAACCTAACTTCACAATACTAAAAAACTCCATCCTCATTCTGTATGACTGCACCAAAACCCAGAACCCACCACCCCCACTATTTCTACACCATTCAGGTTGCCCAACTCGTGCATTGGTTGGGGTACTCACCACACAGATTCTCTCTACTTAATGCTACTTAAAAATGGCTCCATCATTTTCTGATTTTTTAATAAGCACCAAACCAACACACAGAACATTCATTCGTTTTAAAATTCAAAGCTTAAAAGGGTCAATAATACGTATCAAAGTCTTGTCAAAGGAATACTGGCCCCTGACCCTGAACACGTCTTCTTATTTCTAGTGTCACTATCAAACACCTTGAGTCTTAGGACATTCTACTATTGCCTTCTTTGTCTCCCCTCTCTGTTTGCCTCAGCAGAGACTTCGGGGTTGGTATGAGAATTTCTGCATGCCTCAAATTTTCTTGTTTTTTTTTTTCACTATATATTTGAAGAATGTCACGTGTTTAACTTGAATACATGCAGTTAAGGATAGACCTTATGTCTTCCTAATTAGTTAAAGCTTCAAGTTTGAATCAAATACCATCAATGAGCAGGGTTTTCATTGAGACATGAATTTTAAGGGAATATAAAAATATCGAGTTCTGTCGCATGAATATGGAATCCTTAAGAATATTTTGGTCAAAGCCATTGATTTCACATCCAAAGGATGCAATTACTTAAGACATGGTTAAATTATATTCTCCTTTATTTGAAAATACTTCACTTGTATTATTTTACATAAACATGCATCTTGTTTCTTTTAAAATTTATTTTTCTCCCACGTTTTGTTTTCTATCACACTTTACTTATTCAATCAAGTCATTTATTATATTTGGTGCTTTCTCACTCTAACTTTTTTCTTTATTCCTATTAAGTCCAACCCAATCTGTCTCTTCATTTTGAAATGTGTGGTCATCATAATTAACTCTTATTTTTGTTAATGAACTTTTAGAGTTAATTACTACTTTACATAATATTATTAGCAATTAAAGTTTACATGATCAAATGTCAAATTGTTGAAGAAGGAAAAAAAAATGTTTGAGCGAGTCAATAATACGAGTATTTAAAATACATATGATTTCATATCTATTGAAATTTTAAGGATAAAATACTCTTTTGGTCCTTTCATATTATTATTTAATTTCAGTTTATCTCTCAAGTAAAATTGTATCCTTAAGTGTTTTTGTTTAGACCAATATGTAACTTCATATATACTAACAATGTTAACTTTGTCTTACGCAACAAACACCCATCTAATATGCGACATCTCTGTCTCTCTCTCTCTCTCTCTCACACACACACACAAAATCATTGTCTACAAAAAATTTTATATTGAAGTTTCTCCCCAAATTTTCGTTGTTTTTAGGCTCTTTAGTTATTTCTTAATGAATTTGCATAGGCTATTGAAAACCGAAAAGGAGAATAGCATATACTATGTCTAGCAGAAGGATTGGAACAATGTACCATTGGTTATTTGATACTATACATCTTTTTGGTAATTGATTTACAAAAATTAGGTTTTATATTTTATTTATTATATGCATATAATTATATAACAATTCATGTTATTTACTTAGTGATTCAGTACAAAATATACTTACAACGATATTGATGTTAAAAAATCATTATAGGCAACGATATTATAATAATTTTGAATTACTTATTTACTGTCATCATAATTTTAAAAATTAATTAATATTTTTTTTAGTTTTAATATTGATTTTTAAAAATTTACTTTAACATGTTTTTATTAATTTTCAATCTAATATTTTTAACTAGAAGAATTAGTGGGAAAGAAGAGAGAAAAACAAAAGAGGTGAGATGGAAAAATAAAATAAGGAAGAATAAATGAGAAGAGAAAAAATAAAAACTTATGATGAGAGAAAAGTAAAACTACATCTAAATAGTAAATAGGGATTCTTAATAATTTTTTAAAAATATATTATTTATAGGATTTATTCATTATATTGTAGTATTATAATTTAAATTATAAATATTAATAAATTAAGTTTATAATTGAATACTCTAATAAAAATATAATAATTTTTTTAATTTATCCAATAAAAAAATATTAATTAAGAAATAAAGATTTAAAAATATTTTTTTAATTAAATATTTTCTATTTTAAAAAAAATATATTATTTTTTTAAAATAAAAAAAATGATGAAAAATTCACCTCTGATAGAAAGACTAAAATAAAACGAACCGATACATTTTGTCACAATCATTGTTGAAATAGTTTTTTAAAATAATACATTATTTCAACGAACGATGATATATATATTCTCAATAATAACTGCCCTCATTGTTAAGAACATTAATTTTAATGAAGATTCTTTAATCCTAATTGAAGAAAAATTATAATTGTCGTTAAAGTATACTTTTAGAATAATGATTTACCTGGACCAAATCAATAAAAGGTGTAACATTTATTGTCTTAATAATAACTAATATTATTTTATTTATAATTTATATTTATTAAATTTTGTGATGTCATAATAGTATTATAATAATAATAATAATATTATAAATATTCAAATATTTAAATACAATGTTATAATAATAATAATATAAATATTCTATATATATATATATATATATATATAAATAATGATTAAATATTTCTTTTACATATATATTTTAATATAAATATAATAAATTAAAATATATATATATAATTAATAATAATTATAAATTATAAAATTATAAATATTTATTTATATATAAAAAATATATAATAAAATTAATTTATTATAAATGTAATTATCTTTTTAAAAATAATATAAATCGGGAACGGGCGAGAGTGAAAAACTTTAAACCTAGAAAAGACGGGAATAAAAACTTAATTTCTAATCCCGACGGACATCGAGGACGAGGGACGGAGATGGTTAAAAAAGTTGAGAATAAAGATCAAGAAGACAAAATCCGCTCCGTCCCATTGCCATGATTATATTTAAGATAACTTATCATAATAATTTAAAATTATTTTCAATTTTTTAACTTTTAACAATGATTATAATAATAATAATTTAAAATTTATGGTTATATTTCTTTTTTAATTGTAGTTAAATAAATTACGTATTATAATACTATTTAAACGAGTTTTTCAATAAATTTCTATTAAAAGAGAAAAATAAGAACAAAAACTTCAAATCTATTTTTTTATTAATTAATATTAAATCACATATGATATGAACTAATTTGTAAAAGTTTTTTTATATAATTTCTCAAAAATTTTATTTTTAATTTATGCATAAAATAATTTTAGTTAAAGAAAAATACCCTAACTTATAAGTTCTATAAATAAGACAATTAAGCTTAGTTATAGATAATCAGTTTAACAAGATGGAAATAAAAAATATTCCATCGCATAATTTATTCTTTTTTTGTAAAGATTAACATTAAAAAATATAATTACTGTATATGACACTTCTTTCTCAAAATCAGTGATTTAATCTTAACAAAAATTAATTATTTAGTCAAAAAATACATAACAAACTAAAGTAAGATATAATAACTTCGATTTAAATATGAAGTCCAAATTAAATTATATGAATTTAAACTAATTTACATCCAAATTTAAATCATATTAAAAAAAATGTAAATCAATTTAATCTAATTAAATAGATTTATAATCTAGTATATTTTATTGAATTTAGATTGTTTAACATTAAAAAGGATCTTTAACATTGTTTTAAACTAAGATGGAGTGTTGATTCATTTGATGAAATCGTATTCTAAAATATTATAGTATACTAAGGTACAACAACAGCCTCAACTAAAAACATAATTAATTTAGCCTTTTTATTTTGCAAGTTCTTGGGGTCATTATTTAACTTATCAACACCATTGACCACCGATAACAGCAAAATCAACATCGTATATGATAGAGACATTCTTAAGATTGAAAAAAATATTTACAATTTAAGGAACCAAACAAAAACTAAATAATAAGATGGAAGGCAAAAAATTATGTTTCAGTCAAATTTTAAAATAGATTATTCAAACTTTAAAGATACTTTTCAATAGCTACGAAAAAAATTATATTAGAGAGATTTGTTTGTTATTGTTCACCACCACTAACATACTTATGCTCATTGTAATATATACTAACATTTCAAGGAATGATGTGTAACTTTTGAAGTAAAAGAAAAACAATATATTTTAAGGAAATCAAAGAGGAGAGAAGTATTAAGATAGCAGCAAGTATACCAAAAGTAATAAAATGTGAGAAAAGTATCATCTTTATCAGGATTATATGGTTTAATATCCACTAATCAATTAATAACTCATTTTAAGAATTAAAAACAAATTAACAATTTTTAGATGTTTAGTTTATTTAAAACACAGTTTGGCTAACCTGTGTCAGACCATTATTCACTCTTTATTTTATTAGTTTATCTATTTAATTTTTCTATCTTAATTATTATTACTTTATTAATCTACTTACTCATTTTCTCTCTAGTATAATTTTCACCTACTCATAATTATATATATTTAAAAATAAAAAATCAAGAGAATTTAAACAAAATAATAATAATAATAATATAATAATAATAATAAAGAAATTTAAACAAAATATCATAATAATAAAAATTAAAAAAGTATAAGAACTTTATTCACTTGTATGATTATAATTAAAATATAAAAAAATTATTTTATGAAAATTTAAAATATAATTTAAAACTTAATTATAAAGTAAATAAAATATAATATCATTAAAAATATTACAGGTTGATTATTCAATTATAATATTATTGGCAGGTTATTCTGATAATATATATATATATATATATATATATATATATATATATAAACATGATTATCTAAATAAAATATATTTTGTAAATTATTTATATAAACTATTATATGTGAATTATTTATTTACATTATTATATATGAATTGTCCATCGAATGTTTATACAAAACATTATTTGTGAAATATTGTTTTATCTATGGATTATCCAAATAATAATATTATCTGTGGACTAATGAAATAAAAAAGAAAAGAGATAATACTAATATATATATATATATATATATATATATATATATATATATATATATATATATATATGTATGTATGTATAGGATAAATGTTAGATAAAAATGTTTTCTAACTTTATTTTAAATTTAATATATATATATATATATATATATATATATATATATTATGTTGAATTTAATATAAAAAAATAAATAAACCGTTTAAATAAAACACTATTAAAACATACGTTAATTAAAATTATTAGACGATCGCAATCCCTCTTGGACAATGGATTGGAACATATTTAATTTCGATACGACTATAACAGTCACATTAAAAAAAAATGGGCTGTTTCATATTTTGGGCCCATACCAAATACTCTCTATACGTTTTGGTCCAAACAAGATGTCTTTATTGAAATAGAAAGGTACATTCTTCTTACATTACGTATTTTCTACTGCACCTCATATTTCTTTATTTGAAAGTTGAAAAGATATATTGGATTGAAACTTTGTATCCTCTTACATTACCTTTATTAGTTTATTAAATTAACAATCTGAAGTATATTGGATTGAAAAATTTGGAAAATTTTTAAATGAATGGATCTAAAAATATATAATGTTTCTAATCCGGTATATAATTCTACCACTCCGAAAATATTAATAAAAAAATCCTGAAAAGCTGAATCCGAAAATAATTTTACTTCCATGTTCACTTTTTTAAAAGTTTTTAGGAATGAGCTTTCTAGAAATATTCTAAATTGATTTTTTTTTTAAAGTTCTAAAAGTAGGTTTCTAGATTTAGATTCAGAAATAGTAAATCTAAAATCTATTTTACAATAAAAATAATATTGTCTTTTTAAGATGAATATGAGATGTAACAGAATGTGGCATATAGAGAGGGTGATGAGTGGAACTAGTAAGATAAGGCCATATAAGATTATGTTATTTGATTATTTTATTTTATTTTTCAAAATTATGTGTTAGAAGTATAAGTTTGGATACTAAAATAAAGTAAGTAGATGTGACTTGCAGAATTTGTAAGTTGAGGAGCATTATTCATTGAATTAGAAGTATAGAAGAGAGAATAGAAACAGTTGTTGTTGTGTAAATAATCTACCCTCTTCATAGCATATGCTGTACCAAAGTCCAAAAAGAGAAGAAAGGCCTATGCTCTACGCCTCTATCTATCCCTAACCTGAATATAAGACCCCAAAATAGACGGAACATATACCATAATAATGCGGTATAAATGGACCAAACAGGTAACTTGAAGACAAATTGTGATAGCCAGTTTGGTTAAAATTATTGGACTTGGTTCTCTGAGTTGTCTTTGACCAATTGGACCACTTTCATTTTTGGAACTTTGAAATTGTATCAGAGGATGACACTTTTCTCAGATTCATTCATCCACCAAGTAGAGAGAGAGAGGGAAGTTAAAAGTTGATTTCTACATATAAATATAAATTTAGTTGTTCAACTCTTACTGTTTAACTCAGTTATATCTTTTGTACTGAATGCAATATAAAAAAAATAAAGTCAACTAAATAAATATTTATCGATTCATCGTTAATCAATGATTGTAAGAAAATGGAATATATTTTTACTCAATGTCTGAATTACGCGTGATTGACTGCACTAGAAGAAAATTAAGGTCCAAATAGTGATGCTATGCACGTCTAGCTTATACTGAAAAGAATATTATGGTCCAAAGAAAACATACGCAGGGTTGACAATTCAATTCCTGAAATTGTCACCCGAGACTTTTACCTATCACTCTGCCGCCACATGCGACGATGATTCTTATGATCAAATAAATAAAGACAAAACTTTCGTGCTCGACCGGATTGGTCAGGAAATGGTTGATTCATCGTTATCCAATCGACAACAACGAATATTTACTTTTCGAACATTAAAAAAAAATATATAAAAGAGTTCACAGTAGAGGTTAGGAGAAAAGAAAAAAGACATCTCCGTTTCAAATCAAAACACAAACACTGTCGATTAATCAATGATTGTCGCTTTACAAGAAATACTGTTTTGTTTTTTCTAATAAAAGAGAAAAATAGAAGAAAAGAATATGATGATCAGCCCAAAATAAGGGGAGAAACCAATTAAGGAGGAGAGACAAGATGGATACAAAGAATGAGAAAATAACAACAATGGGTCGAGGAACCAAAAATAAAAAACTAATTCCCAGACGCATGTACAAAAAATTCAAACGGATATTGAACACAGATCGTCAAAAACTTGTCTGATGTTAGGCCTCTCATTTACAGGGAGAATACACCTGAGAGATATTGCAAGAAGTTCATCCATCTCTTTGGAGGATTCTTCCCCACCTGCAATGTCTCTGTCAATACAGTCCATTACCCTTCCTTCTCGCTCACACAGCCTAACCCAATCTGTAAGATCAACGGCACCTGACTGCCCTGATATTATGTCACCTGCACTTTTTCTTGTCAACAATTCCATTAGTATCACACCAAGAGCATACACATCTGCCTTAAAGGATGGAACAGGTTTGGAAGCAGTAGCAAGTTCCGGAGCACGGTATCCAAGTGCTCCAAGATTGAGTATCTGCTCTGCAATTCCAGCCAGTGTCATCAGCCGGTGTAGACCATAGTCAGTAAGACGAGCGTTGAAATCAGGGCCTGCTAGCACTATATTCGTGGGCTTCAGATTTCCATGGGGCAGTCCTCGGTCATGGAGATATAGAAGACATCGTGCAACATCAACAGCAACTCTTATTCTCTGGCTGAATGATAATGGGGAGTACCTCCGGGGTGTGCTCTCTGTGCAAACAGATACATTGATATTACATTCAACTAACAAAAAGCTCATATCATGTAAATAATTCCTGATTAGACAAGTCGAGAGCTTTAAACATGTTTTATGCTAACTATTTGACTAGCAGTACGTTAAAGATACCATGCCAAAACAATATCCCCGACATTTAGACAGACGCAGCCCTGAAGACTGAAACTCTACAATACACCTAGAAATAGCCATGCATCTTGTACAACAGCAACAGTTTCAAACCACTATCCAAGATGAGTGAGCCCTTTCTGACAGCGTTTGGGAGAAGGCGGGTGAAAATTGACAGTAGCAGATAAGATAGGTGGCAGCATGCAGTCGTTTAACTTTTTTATTTCAATGAAAAAAGAAACGAGACTTCAAAGACAAGTCCAATTTGAACAGGCTATATGATATCTACACCCGGAGCAGCCTGAAGAGGCACTGAAAGTATCCACGCAATGGTTCATATACACAAATTTAGTCAATATTTCTTCATTGGATGCTTAGGCATAAGGAAACAACATATCTTGGGTTAAGTGCTCTTGGGTCTTCACGTTCTCTAAATAAAATTAAAGCCTCACCAAGATAATCAATGTCAACCAATAATGTCAAACTTTATTGCATGGATATTGAGGTAAAGCTCCAATTTTAATTAGAAAAGAAAACGAAAAGCACGTAAGGTACTAGACCCAAGTTTTGTCCAGAAGGAAATTCTAATTTCTAAACGGAAAATGTTCACAATTAAGAGGAATTGCGCGATTAATAACCATATGACATGATAAACGCAAGCAAAGAAAAATATCCATAAGAATGGCACAGGATTGAACATGTATATGGGATAGAAGTGAGATATGTCGACAGAAAAGTAAACTATTACCATAGAGATGAAGGGCCAAGCTGTCCCCGTGTATATAATCAGCTAAAAGAAGCCTCTCTTGTTCCCTAGGCCCCCAATAGTATGCTAGCAATGGGACAATGTTTGGATGCCTCATAGAACCAATCCTTTTAACTTCTCTAGCAAATTCCTTTTTATGTTTCACCAATCCCACCCGTAACCATTTTACAGTCAACATATGACCACTGTCCAAAGTTGCTTTATATAAAGTGCCATGGCTACTTCTGCCAAGAACTTCAGCTGGGGCTCTAGATAATTCCTCTGCAGTGAATGCTATGGAAGAATCCAGAAAAAACAATTCCCCAGCCAACCGATCTGGCGAGTAAACATCCAACATGACTGGCTTTTCACAAGCCTCTAGGAAACGGGGTGAGGATGACAATGGGGAACCAGGAGAAGACTTCCTTCCAGATGAAGTGGGATGGTTATCCATCAAATTGGGATTCACAGATGCTGAACTAGTGGCCACCATTCCATGAGTTAAGCCATGCTCAGAGATTTCAGTTATAAATTCTGATTGTCCACCAGAGAGTGACCTCGAATTGGAAGTCAGCAGGTGATCATTTGAAAAGCTCAATGAAGTTGTTGGGGGTTGAACATTTGTATTGAACTTGAAGAGGGAAGGCCTCGAAAGTCCTCCTAACTTGGCATCTCTTCTGGTATTTTGACCAGTGAACTCACTTCTTCCATGAAATTCTTTTAGCTGTGTTCGATGATAAGCCAATAAAACAAAAGCAATCATAACAGCAGCGCCCACTGAGGCAAGAATAATTGCTATCCTGATATTACCCTTTGAACTATGATGTCTAACCTTATCTGGAATGTTATCAGGCACCGAAGAAGTCTCAGGAGAATCATTTGGTAACATTAACTTTCCATTTCCAGGGCGAAAGGATGAAGGAGGGAACTGCCGCAAATTTTCAGGAACTCGGCCAGATAGATCATTATTGGAGACGTTAAATACAGCTAAACTGGATGAAAGCTTATCAGGAATATTTCCAGTAAATTTGTTGTTAGACAAATCAAGGTACTCCAAATAAAGAAGTTTGTTCAATTCATTTGGCAGCGATCCAGAAAAGTCATTCCTAGCCAGATTCAGCAGTTTCAGCACACTCATCCTATCTATTTCAGAAGGCAAGGCACCTTCTAAGGAGTTATTAGATACATCAAGATATTCCATTAGTTGATAAGGAGGCATAAGGAGTAATTCACTTGCTCCTGAACCTTGAAGCAGAAGTTGCCCTGTAAGTTGATTTCCAGAAAGATTCAGTCTTGTCACTGATGATGAAGTAACTAAACCTCGTGGAACGGATCCTGTAAGTTCATTTAAACTTAAATCAATGGTAGACAATTTTGAATAGACTCCTGATGTAGGAGGCAAGGATCCTGACAGCTTGTTTGAACTCAGATTAATAACCTCCAACGGGGCTTCCCAGTTCTGTATAACAGAAATGTCACCAGATAACATATTCCTGCTAACGTCAATGACAGTACATCTTTTCAAAGAGGTTGGCAAGAAGCCTGATAAACTATTGGATGAAAGATTCAAAATATTTAAACTTGTAGAGTTGATTACAGCGATTGAGCCTGTACATAAAAGCAAAGAAATGTAAGTTAATTATCAGAGTACTGAGTTTACTGTCTTATTTCTCTCAAATTCTTCATAAACCATGATAAATTATCGTTTATTTACTTGATTAAAAGAGACTCAAGAAAAATTGCTCGAGAACTGTGGGACCAAATTGGTTTATACACTTGAAACAAGAAGATTGAGTTGCAAAATGCAAAAACAGAAGCTTTAAATGATGTAGTCAGCAGAACAAAGCTACTCGCAAAAGAGTAAACACTATAAATTCATATAGAGAAAAAATATAGCACGCCAATTCTACAACCATAGGTCATCCCTGCACTAGAAAATCTAATAAACAAATGAGTCAAATACCAGGCATCATAAGAATAGTGCCTGACAGGAGGTAAGAGAGGCCATCCATGAAGAATGTTTCATAAAATGAAATGTATTAGAGTTATCATTCCTTCCCTATCTTATTCTCTCTCTGCTCCCATCTCCTACCCAACCTCCCTTCTTATCCCCCCTGCACGCATGATGGTTCCATTCAAGCACATGCAAAACAGAACTCATGAACTTTAACTAAAACAACTTTCCCCTTCCACCACAGCCAGCGACCTCTTTGGCAGAAGAAATTCTAAGATAAAAGAGGTCGCCGGTTTTCAGGCGTGCACCTTTCCTACATCTAACACTACAACACTGCATGTGCATGCACACAAACACACAATCAAATGCACGCATGCAACTTCCCAATATCTAACATTACAAAACTGAATGTGCATGCAAACCCGCCCAACTTCCACCTCCCCAATTTTTCCATGTAGGTTCAAGCAGTAAGAGGGCGGAATTTAACAAAAAGTTATATTAAAATAATAAAATTTCAAGAATCTCATTCCCATAACCAGAGCTTTAAACAGTAGCAATTCTGCCTCCGCAAAACTTAATAGAGATTTTGTTACCGGTAAACCCGTTGAAGCTAAGATCCAATTCTTCCAGCGGCACGGTAGTCTGCAACAACTCCTCGGGCACGGAACCAAACAATTGATTACGGGGAAGCCTAAGAACGCGAAGTGCGGGTAATGAGGCAAAAGAAGG